AATAATAATGGTGATAATGAGGACCATACTAATGATAATACCAACAATAATGCAACAACAACAATATTAATCGTGATAATAGTTTTAATGCCAACAATAATAGTAACGATAATGATAATACTATTGATTGGAAAATGTTGTTAATAATGATAATGGAGTAGTGGAAATAATAGTGGCAATAATGATAATAATAATAATAATAATGATAATAATAATGATGATGATGATGAGGATGAGGATGAGGATGATGATAATAATAATAATAACAATGATGATGATGATGATGATAATAATAGTAATGATAATAATAATAATAATAATGATAATAATAATGATAATAATAATAATAATAATGATAATAATAATAATAATAATAATAATAATAATAGTAGTAGTAGTAGTAATAATAATATTTGTCAACGGCCAGATTTATTGAAGTAGCATTGGAATGGTAATCTATCGGCATTTCTGACCTGTAAGACCATTATATACCATGAATTTGGGGTTTTCCAATGGTTGTATGGTAGATGGAATGGTAGTTCAGGGGAACTCCACATTCCATTGAAGATACAGAGTGTGGTGTTTATCCTATGGAGGGATGAGTCTTTAGTGTTTTACATGGCACTATAGACACCTGGTCTCGGGGACATAAGGGTGATACTCTATAGGCCTTGTAAACAAGGGCACCACTGTGCTCTGTGCTGGGTCGGCACGGTCAGGAGAGGCCGAGGCGCTTGTGTGGCACTTGAGCCGCGGTTCAGTACTAACTGTCGTCGAACGTGGGTGTTCGTGGGATTTATCTTTGGTAGATATTCCTAATTTCGGTTAAAACAGTTCTGAATTCCGTGTGACTATACGAAGTAGATGAGACAAGGGTCTACATCTCTTCGTACTCTCCAAGGGGAGATTTTGGACTCGCCAGGAGACGAGGAAATTCAATTGTAACAGTAAGTACCCATTAAAGGTATAATATTATTTCATGTGTTTATAATCACCAATTGATATAATACTGAAATAAGTGAAGTTTACAAGAAGGAAAGTCACACGTAAAATTGGACGCATTATTCTTATAACAAACACTGAGCCCCCTGCGGAGAGAATGGAATGAAAATCTGTTATCCAGTGGCCTACACGCGAGTATATTTGGTTATATTCCACTTGTTGCCAACTTTACTCAAGGGTGGTAAGAAGTGGTATAGCCGCACTCAAAAGACGGCTAGGTAACACAATGATAACAATAATAATGATAATAATAATAATAATGATGATAATAATAATAATAATAATAATAATAATAATAATAATAATAATAATAATAATGATGATGATAATAGTAATAACAACATTAAGAATAACAATAATAATGATAATGATAATAATGATAAAAAACATTAATAGTAATGATGATGATAATAATGTTAATAATGATAAAAAAAATGATAATAACAATAATAATAATGACATTAATATTATTTTCAATGAGGATAATAATAACAGCGATAATAATAACAGAACAATGAATGATGACAATAGCAGCAATGGTAATGGTAATAATGATAATGATAGTAACAATGATAATGATAATAATACTACTAATAATAATGGTAATGATAATAATACTACTAATAATAATGGTAATGATAATACTAATGATGTTGATGATAAAGATGATAACACTATTCGTAACAATTGAAATGATAATGATAATGATAATGAATATAATGATAGGTAGTAATAATAATAACAGTAGTAGTAATAATGATAAAAGTAATTATGATAATTACACAAATAGAAATAATAATATTGTTATTATTGATAATATTGATAATGATGATGATAATAATAATGATGATAATAATAATAATAATAATAATAATGATAATAATAATAATAATAATAATAATAATAATAATAATAATAATAATAATAATAATAATAATAATAATAATGATAATAATAATAATAGTGATAATAATAATAATTAGAATAATAGTAATAATGATAATGATGATAATGATAATGGTGATGATGATTGTTATTATTATTACTTTTACTATTATTATTACCATCGTCATTATCATCGTTATTATCATTATCATTGTTATCATTGTTGTTATTATTATTATCATCATTATCATCTTGTTTCATAGATTTGTAATAATAATTTTCTACCATTGGACTGATTAATTTATTTGTTTAAACATTCTATGCTAATACAGTGTAAGTAGGTGTTTTATAATAAAGTTCATAGTGCTGCGCCTTCTGGCAAATTATTATAAATTAATCAATGACCCAGCGACCTTTAGGTGATCGGCACGATGATTGTATATTTTCACTATCGTCTGTAGTAAATAACAATATATTGTCAAGTACACATAAGAGTGTACATATATCAGAATATTCCATGTATGATAGAGATGATGTTTGCTTTCCACATTAATCGGGAGTAGATTGAGAGAGCACGGAGTCCTCACAGCCTCAACCCATTGATATAAACCCA